GTGTGAAGGTGTACAGCTGTAAGTCATCAGCATAGCAATGGAAAGTGACATCAAATGAATGTAGAAGAAAACCGAGGGGCAAAGGATAACATGAAAACAGTAGGGGACCCAGCACGGATCCCTGAGGGACCCCAAAAATTCTAAACATGTCAATCAAAGCATGTAAATGTGAATTTTTGTTAAACATCTTACAGTACTGATTGTTGAGTGAGATCAGTGTTTCCTCCTGTCAGGTGCGTCTGAGCCGTTAGCCAGGGCGTACGCTGAGGAGCTGGCCAGGCACGGCATCAACATCATCTTCATCACTCAGGACGACGCCTTGGTGCGAGACGCTGCCGCCTCCCTGTCTCAAACCTACGGGGTGGAAACGTTTGTGGTGACGGTTGTTTTCTCTCCGGGCCGAGCGGCGATCAAACCCATCGGAGACGCCCTGAGTGGGAGGGAYGTGGGCTTCCTGGTGAACTGCGTGGAGGAGGAGCTGGCGTCCCCACAGAGCCTGATCCAAGTGCCCGAGCAGGACCTGCTGGATCAAGTGAACAAGAACGTGGCAGTGGTTACTCTACTGACTCGGCTGGTTCTGCCGGGCATGGTGGAGCGCAGCAGGGGGGCTGTGGTCAACATATCATCAGGGCCCTGCTGTAGACCCCTTCGTGGACGAGTGGCTCTCACAGCGGTCACTGTAAGACCCCCGTCCTCTTTAACTCCCTTTAACAGCAGCTGTTTTACAAGAGAGGGGAGAACATTTGTCAAACCCATCTCTTCACTTAGTGCACTTTAAGCAGAATTATTTCTTTACAAACTGAGTTTTGTAAATGTTGCTTGTTTTTTTCCATTTTATTCACAAATACTCATAAATGCTCATTTTCAAACTTTTCAGGGATACTTGGATCATTTCTCTAGAGCTCTTCACCTGGAGTACAGCGACAAAGGCATCTTTGTCCAAAGTCTACTACCTTTCCAGGTAATTACCTGAATTTAATAAATATTTGACCTTTGTTATAAATCTGAGGCCAGAAAAGAGTTGTTAGGTTTGTTATCCTGTTGTCATAATACATACATACATACATACATACATACATGCATACGTACGT